AGATGAACTTGAACAGATCATCGAAGAGGTTGATCAGGTACGTAACGGTTTCTTTATTCCAACTCTGTACTACTGTAGTCGTACCGTCTTGAGGCTTACTGTAAACTGCATCATAGCGAGTTCACAAATGTTTCATAATCGTCGATTACCTTCAACCAGAGCGAGTATGTTTTGGTAGCCTAGCAATGGAGGAGATTTCCATTATCCTAAGCAATCCGATAACTCGTGTTCTTATTCACTAACATTAGTGTGTGACTTTCAAGATTTTGATTAAATTTTACATCGAAATATCACAGGTAATTGAAAGATTTCATTAACTCATTTCATCGACATTATATTGTGCTAGATAAGGCCTTTTTCCCTTCTCGATGAGGGTTGCTTTCATTTGGCTTCTTTTGTGATTAAATTCTATTAATATTTACTGAGAATGTGTGAGAGAATATTAATCAACTGAGAATATGTGAGATTATGTAGTATTCCCATCAAAATATCACTCGACATTTTTTCACAATGTTACTTATCACGTTGAAATTTACGCCGTAATTTGCGTCATTCACTATCTTTGTTCAGTTTCATTAATTTGTTTGATTTTAATATTTGTTATTGTTATTGTTATTACTTATTATTGCCTGACACAAACTTGATAGAATCAGTTACACTGATGCAGCATCTGCTTTCAAGCAAACCTTCCTCTCACGAATGAGACTCGAACTCGTGACCTTCTAGTTGGTAGAAGAACACATTTTTAGTTGCCTACCTTCTATGATGAATGACGTAACCGGGAGATGCTTCCATCTACCGATCTCATTCGAAATGCAATGAAAAATGAATGGAAATAATTGTTTCACTCAGAGATGTTGTCCACATCGTAGAAGAGCGTATTTTTGAGCATGTGCAGTTAGCATGCAATTGCAAATGAGTTCGTGTTATGAGCAGTGAACACGAACAGCTTAAAACAACCTCTGCACACCGTGTGCAACACCTTTTCGCAAGTCCCTTCTCCCTCCCCACGGCTGTTCAGCAAATTCATCGTTGGCTGCATGTTTCCAGAAGTGCGTGCAATTGATTCGATTGAGAACTTAATTATCTGATAGCTTTCTAACGGGAATGAGGATTTCAGATTGGAAACCACGAAATTGATTTCGATGAATTTTGTGATGTTATGAAGAGGTTAAACGCCAAGAAACGTTCTTGGAATGAAGTGGTTCGTGAGTGCTTTACTGTATTCGATCGGGTGCGTTTCGTATGCGTTTTACTACTACTTGATTTACGAAATGAAACAAACCGTTACAGTCAGCAATTAGTTTTCGTCGTATTCATACACTCATTGAATTGGTTTTTTCAAAAATTTTTCGCAATAAAATTTTCAACTCTTCAAACTGCTTCACACAATTAATCTGTTTCGTCTTGCCAAACTCATTTTATACATCCTCCATTGGAAGAGAAATGATTACGACAGTAATGATGCAAGTTTGATTGTTTCAGAGTGAATCAGGAGCTGTCTCGAAGAAAGATTTCGAGTTTATATTACGCGAAGTGGGCGATATCACCGATAATGCGATTATCGACGAAATTTTCGATGAAGTCGATGTGGATGGGGATGGTATCATTGATTATGATGAATTCACATTCATGGTTCGAAATTATATGACTGACGATGACATTGGCACGTAAACCTTACTGTGAAACATCTAAAAGTACCAGTGGATTGAGCACGAATGAGGCATGAACTGTTCACAGTAACATTCAAATACACCGATCTAAAAGCGCACTTCTGCTCATTCTTTCTAAACTGCTCATCTTGAGTTGTTGCAGTTGCATATGGTGTCATATTCATCGTCAGTTGACTTGTTTTCAGAACAGTATCCGTTGATGATACGAGTTGATCATTGTATTTGTATTACTTGACTAGAACGTTCACCTCGTAGCCAGTGGAATCCGTCCATGATGATTTTGCTTGAGAATAGCCACTGATCCTATTATGTTTTCGACGAATGATGACAGTAGTAGCAAAATGCTTGAAACTGTACTATACACCATATGTTTCTCCAAGCAAACTGCGTTCCCATAACGCCAGTCAATTTCATGCATTGTTTCATCGTTAAACAATTCACGAAATGTAACATGAATTGTATCAAAATGAGTGCTTCTTTATCACACCATTTATTGCATATCATTTTTTTTTGCTGCTTGATAATATCAATGACCATCGTCTTTATTGTCAAATAATGGAGGTTAACTGTTACGATAATTTCTATGAAAATTTTTATATATTTATATAGGAGACTATCTTAACAACGTGCACTTGAAATCATGAAGTTTTTAAGAGTTACGGTCGAATGGGTGACCACAGGTTGAAATTTGCAACCTTCGCATTTATAACATATCTTGAGGTCAAAACTGATGCATATCTTCCAGCCATTGCGTGTAATGATAAGTTGCTCTATGAGTGATATAAGGGTGATATAAAAGTTTTGGAGTGGTATTCTCATTCATGAACACTCATATGCTTAATACGCTGAGGAGAAATGATATAATTGACTCATTGTCAGGATTTTAATCTGTTCCAAAATACGGGCCAGATGGCTTGGACACTGTTGTGCATAATAGGCTTTTTCAGCAATATTTTCAGCAAGTTTCTGTATTGTGAGTTGTAATTAAACGTGGAATAGTGAACACTAGATCAAATTGGATGTTTATTGTGGAGGGCCTCTAATTATTCCGAATGTAGCGAAACCGTTTAGAGTTTATGTATGTGCAAAGTTCGGCCATCATACTATCTGCACCTCTCCCTCAAATCAAACCAAATTTGCAGCAACAACCTTGCATACGTTTCCTCAGTAAGTCTAGTACGATTTGGCAGCATTTTGAATTTGATTCCGCAAAAGTCTGATGACCGTTGTGTGCTCTTAAACACTGTTAAAAGTCGCCTGTGAAACAGAGCGACGAAGCAACCAAAATGAACGTTTATTTTGCATTCAAAATCAAATCAAACCAAATTTGTACGACGAAATTATCCATTGAACTCGCTCTATATACCATATTCAATGAAGTTTTAAATACACCCATATATAGTTAAAGAAAGTCGAGATTAACACAGCAACAACCTCGCATACGTTTCAGGAGATTGCAAATAAGATTCGTAAATTCTGACTTTCCGTCGCAGTTTTTCGATTCGCTCTTTATTCGACGTGTTCGTCGATGCAGAACGTTCAGAGCATGAGCTGAACAAGTACTCTCGTATGCCACTGGCGATAATGCCTTCCCAAAGAAAGAGTACACCTGAAATCCAATAAGATTATTGTACTTCATTACAAGAACCAGAAAAGCAACAGTGACTTATGTTAAAAACGTCATCAGAGAGATAAAATTTTATGTTCGTTTCGTTTCAGTCGCTTTTGAAATGCGATTGATTGGCTTCCAGACGGCGGGTCATAAGGAAGACATTAAAAGGGATCATAAAATTGAATAAATCGATCAACTCGGATTAGTGGATGTGAGAAAAATTTTATTGCCAACAATTGCTCGAAGTGGAGCTCATTTACTGTTTTATGCCTCAAAAAATTG